TATATAAACTAAGTACATTGACTTTGTGTTACAGTTCTTAAGTAGTTCTTTTGAGGATTTGTAACTTTACCAATTACATTTAAAAAAAGCTACTTTTATTTTGTTAGATTTTAAAGCTGAAAATGATACTCTTACTTCTTTACTTTAAAATGTAACACCTAGTTACTCATTACTAAATTAAATATGTTGGATCTCATCATGAAAGATGTTTCTGCACTCTAAAAAATGAAGTGTTGAATTTACTCAACAAAATCGGGTCAGCTGGCTCCACTAAGCCTAGTTTGGTAAACTGAGCAAAGAAAATACATATATTGCTCAATTTACTCAACATGACTTAGTGGAAGCAGTTTGGTTCAGTAAATTCAACAATTTATTTCTTAAAGTGTGTAAAAGTACTTTGACTTTTACTTTCCCAATTTCCGTGAACAGTTTTATGACTTTTACTTGAGTAGTTTTCTCATCAGTGAAATTTATTTTTACCAGTCATTTTCTGTTCATGTAATTTTACTTTTACTTAGTTAGTTTTCTGTTTGTCTCCTTCTCTCCTGCAGGAGGTTCATGGTGAGCAGTGGAGCTCTGAGGCCCACRTGGACTCCTCTGGTCTCGGTCCACTCGGCTCGGCTCAGCCTGGACTTCACGCTCAGGTTGATGACAGGTGAGTTTGTTTATTTATTAATCTTATTGAGACTGCAGATATTAGTTGGTTTCATGTTTCTGTCAGATGATTGGACCGATGAGAGGAACTCTCCTGTTTACTTCATGGACCAAACGGTCAACATGCAGGCCTCCTTAGACCTTCGTCACCCTCCTCTTCGTCTGTTTGCTGACAGCTGTGTGGCCACGCTGACCCCTGCTGTGAACTCTCAGCCCAGATATCCCTTCATAGACCACCAGGGGTGAGTCCACATTTCCTCCAGCTCATTTACCCGTCGTAAATCTTGCGAACGCTTCCTGTGTCGTATCGTTTTCAGATGCTAATAAAAAAAACTGGGAGTTGAATCGGATTTTTCTTTATAATTTGTATATTTTTTATTTATGTTTGGCAGATGTTTCGTGGACTCCCTGCTGAGCGGCTCCGTCTCGCGTTTCCTGCCCCGATTCCAGGACCAAGTCCTCCAGATTCAACTCCAGCCTTTCCTCTTCTATCAGGACCACAGACACGACGTCAGCACCAAATCCTCACAACTTTTTTTGTTTTTGTTTTCWTTTCTATAATCCTGACCTAGCTCCACACTGCTCCCCCTGCAGATCTACGTCACGTGTGTCCTGGAAGCTGAGCCCATTTTGAAAACAGAGAAAAAAGCTTGTTCTTTTATAAACGACAGGTTTGTGTTCCACAGCTTAAAGAAAAATTAATTCCAAAATACACACGTCAAATGTATTTAGTTGTTTTTTTTTAAGCTGGAGGTCAGTGGACGGTGCCGACCATGTGTGTGAGAGCTGCAGCAGGACTGAAACCAGCCACAAGAGTGCGCACAGGAGCCGCAGAGCACACAGGAATAAAGGTGTAAATTTTACTGTTTTAAACCCTGCTTTAATCTGATGGATTATAATTATCAGATTAAACCCTGAAGCTGTTTAATCCRATGGATTATAATCATCAGATGATAATTCAGATGCTTCTGATCTTGCAGAGCTGCACAGAGAAACCACTTTGGGTCCGATCATAGTTGTTCCAGAACGGACGGACGACAGAGAGGATCGTGGGAAATCTTACAGAGAACCATAACTTTTTAAAAAAATATTATTAATTTGAAAACAAAAAGTGGGCAGAGAAAGGGAGTTATGACATTTTAGTGTTTATTTGCATTTGTATGTGAAATATAAACTACTTTTACTTTAATGTATTTCAGTAGARCAGAGTGATTTATTTGTATGATCAGATTATTATTTAACAGTTAATGGATAAAGGATTTTCAGATATGTAGAAACACTCTTATGACAGTGAAACTCTAGGTTTGAAATGTATTTTATTTGT